CAGCTACCTGCGGAGAAGTTGTTCTGGAAGGCAACATTCAATTGCTCCTGGGAAAACGAATAGGCATCACAGGAGAAATAACTGAACTTCAGGATGGGCGCACTGCGGTCCTCATGACGAACTTCCGACAAGAAACGCAACACCCCTTGAAAGATATCACTGTGGGCCATGTCGAGGAACTCCGGAACTAAGCCGAAATCACCGCAAGAACTGAAGAGTCCTCGTCACCTCAGCAAGACAGTATGTCTCCCGCACAGCTCGACATTGACCCGAGCTTCCAGACCCGAAACGACGGCGCTTGATTAACCTCCTCGCCGAATACCGGGATTGCTTTGCGACGTCATCGAAGGTGAGCAAAGCCACCACCGTTGAAAAGCACTGCATCATTACCGAGGATGACGTGCTCCCTGTGCATCGGTCACAATACCAAGTCTCCATAAAAGAAAAGGGGGTCATTCAGGAGCAAGTACATGAAAATGCGGAACAACGATATAATCCAGCCTTCAAGCAATCCGTGGGCCTCATCAGTAGTACTGGTTAAGACGGAACGCTTTGGTTTTGCGGGGACTATCGGCAGCTGAGCACAGTGACGAAGAGATATCTATCTACTTCCTTGCATCGACCAAATGTTAGACCGGCTGTGTCACTCTCGGTATTTTTCATCGATGGACTTGAAGAGCAGCTACTAGCAGATCGAAGTTGACAAACAGGACCGAGAGAAGATAGCCTTGGTCACGCTGGATGAACTGTAGGAGTTCAAGGTAATGCCCTTCGGACTATGCACGGCGCCAGCAACTTTCCAGCGTGTCATGGACACCGTACTGGCGAGACTGAAGTGGCAGACCTGTCTTGTCGACCTCGACAACGTCATAGCGTTTTCAAGCTACTTCGACGTGCACTTGCGACGACTCCGAGCTGTTCTCCAAGCCATGCAGTCCGCCGGACTCGCACTCGAGCCGTCAGACTGTTCTTTCGCCTCTGACGAGTTGATGTTCCTAGGCCACATGGTTAGTAACATTGGCGTCTGCCCAGGCCCCAAGAAAACTCGTGCAGCCGCGGGATTTCCAGCGCAGACAGACAAAAAGGCCATGCAAAGATTCTTTGGACTTTGTGCCTACTTTCGACGTTTGTTTGGGATTTCGCAAGGATTTCTGCACCGCTCACAAATCTTACGAAAGATGCCGAGATGTTTGAATGGGCCGAGGAGCAACAGCAGGCATTCGCAGGCTGAAGCGAATACTCTAGACTTCTCCTGTTCTTGGACCCTTTGAATAGGACGCAGAAACCAAGATTCACACAGAAGCTAGTAGTGCAGGACTCGGGGCGGTACTGGGTTAAGTGCAAGGAGGCACTGAGCGAGTCATCGCCTATGCAAGTCGGACACTGTCCAAGGCGGAGAGAAATTACTCAATTGAAGAAGAATGTCTTGCGGTCTGGGAAAATTGGCATAGAAGGTTCGGTGCGTAGAACATTCTAACCTCGAATATGCAACAGGGTTCTCGAATTTACCAGAACTCAACATTTACAGATGTAACGAAAAGGCGCGTCCACTCCCAGGCATTGAACCTTGAGCCCTTTGCATAGGAGCCAAAGACGATAACCATTCGGCCATGAGCGCGTTTGGTCGGTGACACTCGTGGCATTATAACCGGTATGAACTCTATCTACTCATAGGACTCTATATATTAAAACCATAGAGAACCATAAGACCCATATAGTACATTGGCTACAGTAGCAGCATCTTGGTAGTTTACTGGGGGCACGTTTTTCATTCATCTAAAACATCAATATCACACCAATATGCCATGTCGTGGGCAAGGTTTAGACTGGGGAACCAGCAGAGCATTTTTGACAAAAGCAGTCAGTTACGAATGAGAGAAATTGCAGCAATGTCGCCACTTAAATCACTTTTACCGGCGAATCTCCCTGTACTTTTAGGTTTAAAAATATTTTTGAATATTGTCACATTAGGGATGGAGGATACATAAGGAACCGAGCAGACATAATATGTACAAGCCCCCACCACGGAGGGAACCCCTAGCGGCAAACAGGTTGGTTTAATCGAGAAGCTTCTGCAGTCGCTGTGTTGGTTGTACATTGCAGCGGCAGCTGTAGTAGTGGATTAGCGGTGTAGTTTCTGAGATGGCTATTCCGCACTAAAAAAGCCAGAACAGTTGCTGCGTGGTTAGATGAAACACTAGATACAAAAATTAGCGCGGCACAAAGTTTTATGGCTTTCCCAGCTTCTCTTCGAAGCTGTACGCGGCAGAGCGCCGCGCGACCTGGGGCTGGGTGCGACTTGAGCATAAATGCAACGATTCTCGAAAATGTATTTTGAAAGAAACCTATAATAAACTATTCTATTCTATTCTAAGAAGCGTTTCTCACCTTGCAGTTCACGTCTTGCTATAAGCTGCTGACGAATAATACAATAAAATTTTTCTAGCGACAATGGAACAAGGACACCTACAGCAAACCAAAATATGCAGCAAACACTTCACCAGGAAGGAGAAGCAGAACAAGGTCACCCACCCAAGCTACGACCCATCGATATTTTCATCGGCCTACAACCAAACGTTTTGGCTAAGGATTGGGAATCTGTTGCTGTCTGGAGGGCCGGAAAATATATATGTAAATATAAATGAGAAATAAGCTTAATCAGAAATCCTAAATCAGCGCCTATATACAAAATTGAGTTAGTAAAAAAAGTAGTAGTCTAAGGTGGATGAAAATATGCACTTTATTTTGAAATTCAATATTTAGCTAATTATTATATTACACAATTACTGGAAGCCAGAAAACTCACAATGCATAAATCAATGTGCATAGGAACTTCGGCATGTTCACGGACGGCAGGAGGCTAATAAGAATGACAGAAGGGATGCTGATAATATGCAATAAGTGTTATTCACTAGCGGTCATAGCTGAGCTCGCTAATGCTGAGCATGCACTATTGGCAAGCTTCCAACATGCCTACAGGCCTTGCACTGACGTCGCATCATCCATTTCGCACCACCACGGAAGACTGAGAGCGGAAAGCTGCTCTTGTACGAATTTTGAGTGACAGGTTAGTCTTCAAAAAGAGAAAACGACCGTCTGGGGAGTCTGGAACACACAAAGGAGAGCCCTGCTGAGAAGATAATTTCTACCTCCCTTGCCGTGCATGCATTACGAGCAGTCACCTCAAATATGGCATCCAGTGTATACCACATATAGATACGACACAGGACACAAGCACAATATACAATATACAAGGTAAAGAAATTTTAACATACGTAGTTGCCCTTTGGTGAACACTTTCAACTGATCTTACAAGATAAACCTCATTGGAGTTTTGCATGAAGCTGCAATACTCTAGGTGTTGCAGGACCAAGGCTGTGAAAGGCACCTAAGTGTGTTATGGCCTGTTCTACTAGGCATGCGAATTACAAAATTCAGCGTTCCACACGTTTTGGACAAAATTGTTGACATGCTGCGAGAAGAAATGTAGCTGAATGTTTATTGCAGACCTTCTCAATGTTGTTCTGCAAACCCTCGTGGTTTCTGGGGTCACCTGATAAGCAGCACCAACATCCGGTTGTCCGTAACAGCAGTGGAGTCGATTGCAGAGAGGCATTATTATGATTAATATATATGTTGAGAACAATTGGACTGGGCACACTGTCTCACGGAACTGTCCAGCACTTGGGCCACTGACATGGTTCCATGGTATGTACTGCACTCTGAGCGACTCAACTGCAAGACTTCTAGTATGCACACATTTTATTCGCGTTAATGAGCACCAGTGGCTCGCTGGGCAAGCCGTAGGACTCAGCTTTCACGATAGGCGGGGCAGAACTCGCAGCATAACAGCACCTTGCCATGCTTGTGGGAGGTTCATACTCCAGGTCACGGCGTCGCCAAAAGGGTAATCGGAAAGGTACCAGGACCAGCACAGCTCTGCACTTCTTAGAACGATCCTTTCTGGAAGCAGTGTTCTCCACTGTATCAATCGACAAGGTGACCGCCATAAACCGAATCGTGCATCCACGTTTTACGTACCGCTAGAACCGTCGTGGGATGAGTCTCGAGAGTGAGTAAAGGTGCATCAGCTTATTCGGGACCAAATTAAGTGCCCATTTTGAGAATTACACTGAGAGTTGAAGCAACACAGAAGGCTCGCGTCTCGCAGCGTCACCTGTAGAATGACCGTTCGGAGCGTCGGGACACTGTGAAGGTAACATCATTCACATCGAAGAGCTCACCACTGAAGGGGGGCTACCGAGTTTTTAAGAGCCACTAATCGTAGTAATCGCATTCCAAAGACGCCGGGTTGTCGTAGATTGTCTTTCACCAGCTAGGTCATGTAGGGCTGAGGCCAAGGCTGGGGGATCCGAAGCCGGAACCGTGCAGGAACCAAGCAGACGACGTGAGGCTCGCGGAGTCCGAGCAACGATCCGAGAAGCCCTAGTTGCAGCCTTGCCTCCGAGAAGACTGGATATTCTTTCCGGCGGGCACACAATACTTAGACAGCACGCCTGCGGCTGATGCGGATCGCAAGAGGTGGATAACAGGACGATCAGTGAACAGCCAATAGGTCCAGCACGGCACAGAGCACGAACAGAGACGATTGTCGCCGCCATGTTAAAATAAAACGAGGCTGAGCCAGGCCAAGCTTTAGTTTAGTACACGCATACTTTATTACAAATAAATATATAAATGTTGAAACAGTTTTTATTTATGTTTAAAATTTGTAATGTAAGTAGATTAAAACAGGAACATTTACGTTGCGTCAAATAAGTTTCGTCGTAACACCTGTCGTCAAACCAGCGAACGTCGCCGCATCGCCATCGCCATCGTCACCAAAATCAAAAACAAACCCAGCTGCAAACTCTCGGGCCACCGTATTTCGGGCGGTTTCAGGCCTTTAGGCTAACGGAAAAACATCGAAGAACGTTCTTGAAGGAACAAAGTGTCCTAGGTGCCGGCGTGCCCATAGAGCCAGCTGTGGGTTTCAGTCTGCTTGGTGAGTACTTTTCCAGCCCTTTCTTTTCGGAGCGTGTATGGCGTGTTCTTGTGTGTGCAGGCAGCGTGAAAGCGGACGTGTGCGGTTCCTTGTCGCACAGATTCTTTGCGCATTGAATGACCCTCAAGCTTTTTCCAAGGAAGTACCGGAACCGACCTGTCACTGAGCGAGCAGTCAAATGGCGGGAACGGACCCAGAGGCAAGGTCCCACGGGGGCGTGGGGCGCCGAGCGAGGCGCTTGGTGAGTGATCGGGGAGCTTTATCTCTTAGATCGGTGTTCAAGGCTTGAGTCCTGCAAATCGGGTGGCGGCTTGGTACCACCTAGCTAGGCGGTGTGTTTTGCGGAACCCATGACTGCTGAAGGTACCAGTTTGCGTCCTAGCGCTCGTATTTGCACCCCGTTTGTTTCCACTGTGGGAGGTCGGATCCAAGTTCGATTTTCGTCCTGGGAAACTACTCGAAATATTGCGTGACCTCCGTCTTTGGAAGTACCGTCTGTATTGGTGACGTTGCTTGCGAAGAGTATAAGGAGTTATTTTTCGACTGTGACACTGACTTTTTATACAAAGTGCTGTATATGTAGCGCTCATTTACTAACCCTCTGGCAATACCTTATTGTGAAGGTCGGGAGAAAAAAAACGCGCATTGAGTAGTGCCAAAGAAAACAGAAAAAAAGGTGTTCCAAACAACTTGAGGAGACCATGAGCTGATTTTCAAGCTACTGCCTCCTCAGCTTTCCTCCTCAGTTCATAAGCAAAGTAAGAAATCACGTGGTCTTGTTTCACTGGAACCCAAAGTTTTCGCAGCAGTCTGAGAGTCAGCGAGAACAAAGCCTTTGATAAAATTCACGCTTTACATTTTTGCAAGCACCAACAGCCAAAAAGTATAAATTACGTGTAAGCGATTGAGCGAGCGAAGAGACAAGCAATGGCAACCATTTTGCTATCACTCAGTCAATCTCGCGACAAGGTAATCGCTTGAAAGCGACGGGAGCAAGCAGTCAAGTAATTGAGCGACTTTTTCTAGAAATCCAGAAACCGAGCTACAGTGACAAGTCTCAGTTGCTCTTCTCGTTGCTTGCTAAACCGCTTACTTGCGTTTCAGCCTTTATTGTGCGAATGCGAGAGAGACGTGCCACGAGTGAGTGCTGTGTTGCCAATCATTTCATTTAATTTATTTTCACCTTAAGGGCATGGTCAGGATTCCTGCAGTGTGCAACTCGTGCACTGGCACTTACGTGCCATTGTTATACAAATAAAGACAAACAAGAAAAGGAAGCTTATTAATCATACACAGTGGCAATAAAATACTTTTAACAAGAAAAATGAATCCGTAATCTTGCTAGAAATACTTCTGGGATTACGATGGTGGATGGTAGGCTGTTCCAGTCGCAGATGGCTTGAGAAAGGAAAGACTGATTGAATGCGTTTGTGGAACTGGAAATACAAGATGATGTTCATTCCGGAGGTGATAACAAAGAGTTCTTGAGGTCGGGGCAATGATAGTCGACTTTATGAAGGAGGCAGAGGCGAGATAGCTTGATGCCGAGCTGCAAAGAATTCACTTCTAAGTACCTCTCCTTTCAGGGCTATATTGCCATTTGCTTACAAGTGCTGCATGGGCCTCGTGCACTGGCACTTACACGCCAGTTCCAAAGCTAATACAAACACATCAGGGGGTTTTAGGCGGGTTAGCCATCCTACAAAACAGTCACAAGAAAGTAGGGGTGCCGCAAACTTTTGGCAAACCGGATTTTTAGGTCGAGCATTTGGGGTTCGACTGTGTCAAACCGGTTCGACAAACCTTCGAAACTTTTAACCAGATTTGACTTGTTCGACTTTGTGGACAGCGTGGCAAGGCCATGATACAAGCATGTCTAGGTCTACAAAAATTGTGTTTCACTCAAAAGGTTATTTTAATTTTATAAACAGTTGCAAATAAAAGAAACTAACTCTAACTACTGAACAAGTTAATAACTTACTTTTTTGTACTGTATTAACTGGAATAACCAATAGGTGCTGCCCTTAATTCATCCCTTAGCCATCACCATCCAATCCGAAGCCAACTGGCCAGCATGTCGCGCGTGCGAACAGCAGTCGAACATTTTTCTAACTTTTCGCAAGAAGTTGGAAAAAGTCGAACCTGGTCAAACTCGAACGTCGGCTGGTTTGTGACACCCCTACAAGAAAGGTCTTGCTGGCTGAACGGTTCATTGGAGATGCAAAGCGCTTCCGTCGTTCTAGACACGATTTGACAGAAGCTTTTTGACGCAGATGAATACCAGAATCTGCACCGTGTCAGCCCGGCAAAGTTCCTCATACCATCTTTTTTGATATGAGAAATGGAATGAAAGAATGTTTTGTGGCAATAGTTGGGGTCATTTCGCTTTAAAAGTCTTACTTCCAATTTTCAGAAAGGCACAAGCATTGGAGACCAGCTGCCTCCACAATCATGCCCCCCCGGCTTTCCTGGTAGTTGCTGTCGGTGAGTAACCTGAGCCTTTGTCTTTTCTACCTTTCTAATAGAAATGAATGGTTCTTCTACACGTGCTAAAGTGAGGAGTATGCTACTGCTATGTTTTTCAGTTTTGTAACCCTTTATTTCCTAGACCAAAAATTTTTCTTCAGCTTGGTTCAGATGCCCAATACATTCATGGAATATTGTGTCTAGAAATTTCAATTGTGCATTGTGTGTATGTTTGGGGGGGGGGAGTTTACTTCGCTGGTCCATTTGGTAGACAGGACATTGTGAGAAAGAGAAGTGTAGATAAAATACAAGTGCAAGTTTTATTATGAAAACCTTTTAATACGGGACTGATGAAAAAATTAGAATATGAAACAATATGACGTCCTGTCTTCCTCTTTCTTGTTACTTTCTGTAACCTAGTCTTGTGACTTAGAATCATATACTACTACATAAGATTCAATGACATGGAAGGTACTGCAGCTCCTTAAACCCTTAAAAAACACATGCAAAGGAAAAAAAACATTTTTTTTTTAAACAGCCTTGATGGAAAAAGATTGCTTTAGAACAAATTTACAACGAAAAAATACAATTTTTAGAGCTATATTTATGGCGCAAAACGAATTTGTAGTTGGCGCCCGTGAGAGCCGTCGCTGGTCACGTGTTAGACCTGTGCACCGCCGCGCTGTGTCGCCGAAGCCGCGGAGACCCGCTGCCGCCGCATGCTAAGCACTGTGCGCTGCCGCTCCAATGCATTTCTCCACGGCGGCGCCGCCGTCGTCGTGCAAGTTTGTGTGCTCTGGGGTGCCACCGCCGTCATCTTACCGGTGCACAGGTTTATCACGTCTGCTTGCGCTTTTTCAGGAGCTTCCTTTGGGCTCTAAAAGTAACTTATTAATCTTCGTTTTTTGTTGCACTTCAAACGAAGATGAATAAGTAACTTTTCGAGACCATACGAAGCATCCGAAAGAGTGCAAGTACCGTAGAATACTGTGCATCCGCCCACACCACACTAAGCGCCCATTCCCAAATTTGTAGGATCTTAGAAAATACACAAAGTACATTTATATGTAAGATTGATGAGCGAAGAAGGGCCCATCCCCGATTTTTTCACGATTATCTCTAAAGTTTGAGTGGGCGCTTGCTCGGTATTTTACGGTACCATGTGACAAATAGCGGCCAATCACATGATAAATAAGGGCCACTTCTCCGCGGTGCCCGCGGGCGCCAACTACAAATTTGTTTAGCGCCGTAAATATAGCTCTAAAAATTTTTCTTTTTCGTTGTAAATTTGTTTTATGACTTCCTTTTCCTAATCCGGCTGTTTAAAAAAAAAAAGTTTGCTTTCTTTGCATGTGTCCTTTAACTGTTTTAAGCAAGCCTAGCTCTTCCACCTAGAGCCGTTCCCTAGGCGTTTAGGAGGAATGTAGCACGTCCACGCATCCTACCTTGCCCTTTGGCTGTTTTGGATGTCCCAGGCCCGCTCCGAGCTTATTTTGCGGTGCAGCTGAGAGATGGCGGCACGCATATTTTTATTGTACACGTTTTTAAGGATGGCGACCGATTGTGGAGGCACGTGCGGCCCAAGCCGCACAAACTTTAAAAAAGGAAAAAAAAAAAAAAAAAGAAGTTAGGATGAAAAATTGTAAAACAAAAACCGGTTAAGTGGTTAAGGTGAATATTGTGCGACATCATTATGCAGTTTCCTTGTTTCTTCGAGAATATCTAATTGGATACGAAACACATTTTCATGACGTGCAGGCAACGTCAACAAAAATGTTAAGTGATTGCAGACTCCGCAGTCCATCTGTGGCTGATTTACACGACGTGCTAATCCGCGGATGGGTTTATCACGTGACAAGACGTCCATGCAACGTTAGTCCCCCAAGCGCATCCACACTAAGGAGACGAGCAGGCGACAGCGAGGACATATAATACCTATTCGCAGCCTTGCAATTTTGCAAAACGCCTACATCGCAGTGTGGTACTGTTTTCCAAGAGCAGAAGTGATGTTTGCGACTAGGATCACGGTGCTATCATGAAAAGGAATCGTTGTGTGCCGCTGTTACATACCAAGTGGGCTAAAACATAGTGGCAGGCTTAGAGCGAAGTGTCACTTACTTTACTAACGACATGACACAAGAATGATCCTGCTTCAGGAGGCTTCAGCATCATAGCGATGAAGTCCTGGGGTCGCGGAGAGGCATTCGGAAATACCTTTACACACTGCTCGCTTGTGCACCACTCTTCAGCACAAGCCATAAGAAAGGTCTTGCTGGATGGAAAACTGGGTGGATCTGCAGGACAGATTGCAGCATGCTAGGCGAGTTTTGACAAGCTTCTTGACACCAACCTGGAGGAGTACCAGGACCTGTGGCGTGTCAGCCGGGCAAAGTTCTTGCAGCTTCTTTCACGCGTGGAGATTTAAGAGTGGCGCGACAAAGCAATGATCCACTCTCTTTGTTTGACTGATTTGAAAACAAAAATATTCGTGAGCTGTTGCTACTCTATCATAAAAACGCTTTTCGAGTTACTCACTTGCCAAAAATCTGCGATTAAGAAGGCACTCTGCCCTTTCAGTATGGGTGTCCGCGGACGAGGGACAAATCTCAGGAATAGCCTACATGATGGTAACTTGACAAATGGTGCACGGATGAAAATTGCAATTCGATGTATCATGTGAATTTGCCATTATTTAGCAATTATCCTAATATGATCAGTTGATCCTAATTAAGAAAGAACAATTGTTCTCTGAAACAATGTAATAAAAGGAGGTTTTTATAAATAATGCCTGCTCATAATGGAAAAGGCTTGGTGGATCAGAGACTTTCCATAGATCAGATATTACGAATTGCAGGCGTATGCTTAATTGAGAGAAGAGTAAAAGTACAGGCAATGGTGGTGAATTGCATACATAACTAAACCTGAGACGCCGGAAGAAGGACGCGAAAAAGAGAACATCAAACGCAACACGTCTCAACCACAGCTGCATTTTTTTTTTTACTTCTTAGTCGGTGGGTTGACTTTGGCAAGTGTGGGAGCGTTGAGGGCAGTTCTTTTTTCCCCTTCGCTGACAATCTGGAGGTGTGACTTAGTGTGAGGGTTCTTGGCATTGACTGCGGTGCACCCCTGTAAAATGGTGTGGTTTTAGTATGAACCTGCAGCTGTGTTCGAGACATTATGTGTGTCGTCCTCCTTTTTGTGTCCTCCTTTTTCCTTCTTCCGGTGTCTCATATTTAGTTATATATGCTTAATCCATGCTCAAAGTGAAGACATGAGCTTGTGCTGGCATTGCCAACCTTGTGTGCATGGTCTATGAAAAGTGCTTAATGACTGTGGTTAAGAGAGAGGAGTTTCTGCTTTCAAGAACAGCATGGGGTGAATGGAAAAGTGTTCTCACAAACAATGAATTCTCCGGGTTACCCACTCAGTCTAACGGAAGGATGTAGGATAAGCATTTTGAATTCTTTAGGATTTGCCAAGGGATAAAAAAAATGCACAGAAAAGTAGGGGGAGGAGAATGGCACAAACATTTTGGGGCTTGTGTTCTTACATTTGAATTTTTTGTGCAGGAAGCATTAAGGCCCGTTCACATTCTTGCAACCGAGTACGACCGTGAGAGACGAGACCGGTTTTCAAGCCACTTGCAATCTCTTAGGACCAGCTGCGTTCTGGCGCATCCCGTCCTAAGCACTCGCAAAAGGCTTAAAAACCGGTCTGGTCTCTCTCGGTCTTACTCGGTCACAAGAGTGTGAACGGCACTTTACTGAAACAGCACTTCAGTCCTGGGGGCAATAAGTCATTGCTAGTCAATACCTGATTCCACTGATGCATATCAGGCAAACACCTCTTAAAGGGCCCCTGGAAAAAAAAAAGTTTTTTGAACAGTCTGATAAGGACACTCGTGCCAAAAAATAAATTTTATGCGAAAATAATTAATTTTTTAGAGCAATATTGACGGCAAGAGATTTATTTTAAATTCTGCGCGCAAAGTCCATGACGTCCCGGAATGGTCATTCGCTCTCGCCACCTCAACATGAAGGCGAAGCTGATCTCCCTCTCCTCTACTCGCTCGAAGTGCCCAGAGGAAACAGGTGGAAAGGAGGTGACTACCGACTAAATTGCGTCTCGCGCCGTCAATATTGCTCTGACCAATTTTTTTTTTCACGTAAAATTAAATATTTGACACGTGTGTCCCAACAAGTCTGTTTGAAAAAAAAACATTTGTTTTTCTTTTCAGGGGCCCTTTACTGAAACAACTTTGCTCTCATTGTTCTAATTTAACACTATTGTGGGAAATGACTTTCAGGAAGCATGAACTGCAAAATTCGCACGTGAAAAGGATTGGTAATTTTTAACAAGATGTTTTGTCTCTTCCAGTTGTACCAAAAAGTGCATAAGGGGTGGACGTTACTTAACCGTCATTTCAATCCTGGGGACATGGAGTCATTGCTAACCAGGGCCGGTCACTGTTAGCCAAAACAAGACTTCATAGATGCATATCAGGTTAGTACTTTTTTCTGGTATTTATTTTTTTATTTTAACGAGACAACCTTGAAATGCAGAACAGTAATTCTTTCAGAATATACATAGTTTCTAATTTCCTGAGAATTGAGCTCATCTTTCTGAAGTTCCAAATCAAAAGCACAGGCTGTAACCTATTTTTGCCAAACATCTTGCAGTTTTGTTGGTTTGCTTTTCATAATGAACGATTCAACTCCGCTGGTGCAAGGGCATCGATAGATTTCTGGAACCATTCAACACAGATGGAGCACCTTATCTGGCGTGTGGCTTGTTAAAGGGATACTGAACCGAAATTTGAATTTCGCGAAATAAGGCTCTAGAAGCGTTGAACAGGACTCTACGAACTCCAAAACATTACTCGTACATCGATACCTCAAACAGATCGCTGCACTTTTGGAAAAGAAGGGCACGATCAAGCGAGGTCTTTGACATCACTGCCCTCCGGGAGAATTTGAGAATGAGGGGAAGCGGCCTCGCTTCTCTCCTCCTCGCTTCGGTTCACCAGCTTGACACGGGACGTAGCGAGGAAGGGAATAAGAATCGTGACGTGCCTTGTCTCGTCGGCCTCCTCGGCCGGGCACTTCTTTTCTAAAAATATGGCGATCCGTTAGAGATATCGCTGTATGAGTGATGTTCTTGGGTTTTGCAACGTCCCGCCTATCTGTCCAGCCTTGTTTTGCGAGTTCAAAATTTCAGTTCAGTATCCCTTTAACCTCGAGGTGTATGTCCTATGCCTTCTTCCAGGTGCTGGGCATGTTGAGTTTGCGATCCTTTACCCTTACTCCGAGTGCAGCAACTATACTCTGTGTTTTATGATAACTTGACGAGCTGTGGAGGCTGCGGCCTTCCCGACCCAATAAGAGCGTCGAAGCAAGGCACGTGACAGCAACCCCATGGTTGAGGTCGCTGTCGAATCGCTTGGTTGAGATTGCTGTCGAATCGTTTCTACGAATCGCCTACAATTGCTGAAAAAGTAGGTCCCGTAAACAATTCCGGTAAAGTGTAAACACATTGGAATCTATATGGAGATCCCACTGCATCGCGAAAATTAGAACCCGCGAATTATTTCAAAACTTCAGCTTCGACCTTAATTGCGAAATATGGAGCCCGCGAAAAATAAGTCTGCAGTAAGCACAAATAAAGTTATTTCCTTATGAATTCCAGGATTTGAGTGTTTCTGGCTTACATTTGTCCAGTCTAAACTAAAATTTTGTGCTTAATGGACTGCAGGGATGATTTACTTAACTAAAAGTTCCTGTTCATGCATAGAATAATTTATTAATTATACTATACTAAGATTATGTGGCTACACTTCCATTAAGGGTGTAGGGAAACGAAATTTCAGCGCTCATTTTCTAGCTTTAATGTGTTGCATGTTGCACCCTAACCTCAAAATCACCAGTCTTCCGTTGAAAAGCACAAGAAAACTAATTTTAAAGCTAAATAAACGACTTTCAATGTGCACCTGGTGGATGCATTCTGTTAGGATCGGCCACCCAGAGAGCAGGTTCGGCTTCCTGGCAGCGCCATCGACCTCCCATCGACTGACCAGAGTCTCGGGCTCGGCATTCTGGCGCCGCCGAACATGCTGACCGACGCGGCGTGGGTGGGGTGCAGCTTCCGAGCGACGCCGAGCGCGCCACCCGGCACAGCGGGAGCTGACTCCCCTGACACCCCGCTGAGAAACAGAGGCCCGCTTCCTCGGCCTTCGGACCGGGTGCTAAAGAACGATGGAGACAAGTGGAGACAAGTGGAGACGTTTGGGTCTCGGCGTATGATCGGGACAGCTGCCTGTTCCTGCGTTCTTCTGGGAAACGGGACGAGAGGGATGCTTGGACCGGGGTGTGACCACGTGGGAGGTCTGCGTCCCGGGAGACTGCAGAGACGTCCCGTGGTGACGAAAGTTGTATGCTATGTAAGTTGACGAAAGTTGTATGTTATGTATTTTCCGTCATGCGGTGATGTATTGCCTTGATAAATGTTTGTGATTGTTTTCAAAATGTGAAAGTTGCAGAAGGTAGATGATTTTAAATATTAGGTCAGTCATAAAATTTAAGTCAATAGACCCTTTTCCAACGTCAGTGCGAACGCCTGTCTGCCATTGCTTGCTCTCATACTCTGAGCATATACTGAAAGCGAGCCCTGCGTCAGCGTTCAGCGAGAACTCAGATCCAGTCACGCACTTCGTGAGCAAGCAGTACTGACAGCCATTGTTGCTTCATAGACTTTTGAAAAGGGTTTACTGACTAGATAGATATTGTACAAACTATTTTACGAGAACATGTAATGTGACTGTCGGTTTTGTTTACATTACTTTCAGATGCCCCGTCGGAGGTGCGTCAGCCTGTGACCAACTGGGAAAGCAGATGCAGCTCGCCTCAACGAATTGCCTCATTAGCATGCACGAGCTACTTCAAAGCCTGAGACTGGAGGACAAATAAACGAGCCTGCGGGTGGAATGCATGTTCACAATTTCTCGAAGTTCGAGCATTTCTCTGTGCATGCACTTTCTGCTATCTTGCATAGGCTTTAAAAGGAAAGTGTTTCCCTGCTGAACTTCATGTTTCACTGATGAGTGAACCATGTGGTTAACACGATCGATATACACCAATACGTGGCTCTGACGTCACGTTGCTACGGTGGCGCTGCTACTGTTAGGGCGCATGTGCAGACGCTTTACGTCACGTGAATGTCGTTCTTGCGCACACGCAGTGCTTGCACCTCGTGTAGAAACTGAATTTGTTCATACCTCGTGAAAGCTTGTTGGTAAATAGTGCGTTGGCCTATAGATCATATCAACGATTTAAACTGCATGAACAATATCATCCATAACAACCATAGGCCATACAAACCATATGGACCATACAAACCGTATCAACCATATGACCCGTACCAACCATATGAACCATATGACCCGTACGAACCATATGACCCGTACCAACCGTATGAACCATATGACCCGTACCAACCATATGACCCGTACCAACCATATGACCCGTACCAACCGTATGACCCGTATCCCATAACGCTATATGAAGACCCGTATGGAAAATTCATATGGTTTTTTTTCAGTAGGGTATGCTGGCGAAGATACAGCAGTGGCCCATCCGACGCTTACGCCGACGCATTCGCCGCGAATCGCAGCCGTGCCAAGTTCAGGAACTTCAACTGGCTGTCTCCGACCAAAACACACGTCATCGCTGAAGTTTGGACAAAAAGAAAAATAAGAAAACAAACACGGAACAAGGACAAATGAGGCAAGCTAGTCAGGCTGTCGTAAACTTCCCCCAACAGTTCTGTGGAATGGGTTAGATCACTGCGGCTGTTATGGTGGTAACGTTCCCAACGTAGCTCGTAAAAAAATAAAAATGAAGTGTAGTGCGCAACAGTAAGTCTTTTATTTGTAGGTATAAACTCTCGAAACTTGAGAATATACAATTTATTTTATTAAACTCCTAACCAACCTATTTCGTTTGCCTATGCGACGTACGTTGGTAGAGTCAAAGCCGCGCGAATTCCATCCGATCGATCCACAGAACTGCAGGAATACTTGCTGGAGGAGGACACAACGCGCGTTTACTGGCTTGCCGCCTCACCATGACGTTTTCGTAACTTGCGAAGCGGTGGATACCTAAAATGATTGACCGACAGCCAGCAGAGCGTGTGAGCGGCCCTCCGGACCTACGTAATGAACATATCAAGGTAGCCGTGGAAGACACGGGCAATATATGAAGGGGGAGGGGGTGAGGGGGGGGGGGGGGGGGGGGGCGTTCCTTCCGGCAAAACAAAAAGCGGGCGGAAGCGGAGCGCCGAACGAATTGTCGGAGTCCTGTCGCCTGACGATTTTTGTAGTGCCCTGTTTCGTCTGGCGTTCAAAGGGTACCCATGTCCAAAGAATCCTGATTTGAATCCTGATTTAAATTATGATTTATATTTAAACCATAATACATCGTCTGCGCCGCGACATTAAGCGGGACGACACAATTCCGCTCAATTTCTAATTCAACGAGACATGAGTGTGAGCGGGACCTGTCTGTGAATTCGTTCCAGAGCGCCTTCGTGCCGGATCGGACGCTTGCATTTCTTCCTTTTCAAGCAACTAATTTTCTCAACGCTTTTTCGGCGCTTCATGTCACAAATAGATAAGTAATATATTTAAACTGTGATTTTAGAAAGTACCATTTATTTATTTGCACTGTATGATTGCTGACAAGATTAGAACGGCAAGACGTGTTTTTTCGAATGTTCAATCATTAGCAGGCGCTCCATGCCTTCCACCGTCCTATGGCCGCGCACGCGCGCTCGGATTGGATAATACGTCGAAGCGTTGTCGAAGGTAGAAAACTAGTGCTGGAGGTGGTTAAACTGAAGCTCGTCGCTGCCGTGTTCAGCTTGTCTGTGACTATAGGAAGTAGCAGGTGTCGAGCGGAGCATTTTCGGTATGGCGGTGTCAATGAAGCGCGTCATTTGCGGCATACTAGAATCTTTGACGATGCTGATCGCAGCATGTTCACGTCGGATCACAGAAATTACCAATACTCAGAGCGGACACCTCCACGATTTTGCGAAGTTACTTGATGTGGGACATAGTAGAAAACAAAAGGATAGTGAAGCAAACATCGTCGGGCGGAATGTCTCTACAAAGCCGCAGTAAGTCAATCGCTTTATATACCGCACCCATTTAGCACATTGCTGATGACGCTACTGCTAGATTACTATGCGGTTGGCACTATAACTACACTGAACAAACATAGAAATCATCGTGACATGGTGATGTACAACACGGTTAGGAAAAATGGTGGAAAGAGACATTAAACTTGTTGCGACACGTCGGAATTGCTAGCACACTTCCTTTTGTCTGTACTGTACGCTTTCATTAACACATTGAAGTTCTGCTTTTTTTGTATTGAGACTATAACAGCGCATATCACTCAGGCTATAAATGCCGACTCATCGGGCTGTGCACGCATG